CTTTTGGAATCGAGAATAATTTCTAAACCGTGTGTATGGGTTCTGATTTGAGTCTCTCTGTGGTCCCCAGACCCTGAAGGACGCTAACGAGTCCACGCGGCAGGACTTCCAGCGGGAGGCGGAGCTGCTGACGGTGCTGCAGCACCAGCACGTCGTGCGTTTCTACGGCGTCTGCACCGACGGGGAGCCGCTGGCCATGGTGTTCGAGTACATGCGCCACGGAGACCTCAACCGCTTCCTCCGGTGCGTAGGAGAAAAAAACTCATTAAAGTCTGAAGGGGGGACTTTATTTAAAGCTTCCTCTCAGAAAGTGAGGCGGTGAATACAGGGTTCTGGTCCAAAAAAAACGTTTCCATGAGAATTAAACAGAATCGGTTTACTTTTTTTAAAGGAATCAAACAGTTTCAGTACCCAGGATCGAACAACTTTGAGTCGGGTTGGGTCTTTCTCACACAATCTGAACTAATGAGGCCTCAGGATGTCATCCATCGAATTGTCCACTTCATCTTTTACTCAAGCCAATTTCTTTATATAGTACTTGTACTTCTACTCCACTCCTCTACTCCAATACTGTATACAGTGGGGGAAATAAGTATTTGACCCCTTGCTGATTTTGCAGGTTTGCCCACTTACAAAGAATGCAACGATCTATAACTTTAATCATATGTACATTCTAACAGTGAAAGACAGAATCCCAAAGAAAATTCCAGAAAATCACATCATATGAATTTATAAAAATTGATAACCATCTGATGAGGAAAAATAAGCATTCTTTGTAAATCTGCCCCAGCTGAGTGAAAGCCAGCCAGATCTGGAATGATTGGCTGGATAATAAACCGGTTGATTGAATGAAGCGCTAATTAAAAGCTTTCCAGGAAGAATATTCTTCTATCTGGTAACTCTGAGAGAGTCTGAGGGTTCAATGTTGTGATGGGATTTTGTTTTAGGAGAAAACAAACACCTGCATTTATCACAACACAGAAAAACACACCCTGATTTATTCATTTTTTAATTTTCTTTTATTTATTCCTCGTATTTGGGACCAGAATCTAATTCGAGTTCAGTTCCATCCAAGACTGAAAGTGAGATCTAAATGTTTTAATTATTTCTTCCCCTCAAATTAATTCATATTAAATGCATACATTTAAATATGAATCCAGCACTTGTGTACAGAACAAGGGATTTGTTTCATTATTTATTCTGAGGTAAGCGTTTATTATAAGAAATTAAAAATAATCAGATTGCAGATATCTTTATTTTTTAGATTTATACAAACATGTTTTTTCTCCTTTTTCCCCCCCCCTTTTTTAATCTTTTTTTATAGATTTATACAAAAACGTTTTTATTTTCCTTTTTTTTTCTTCCTTTTTGTCATCTTTTTTTAATAGATTTATACAAACAAGTTTTTTTTTTTCTTTTTTCCCCCTTTTTTAAAATCTTTTTTTATAGATTTATACAAGCATGTTTAAAGGTATAGATACAGTTCCACACAGATGCTGGTTCTGGGCTCTGAGCTGCAGGATTTCCTGGTTTTCTGGCCGTTGAACGTTCCTTATTTCTGTAATAACTCGGCCCCAGGTGGAGTTTGATCCCCTCTCTGGCTGATTTCGGCCGTCTGTTTTAATCACGGCCACCTTTTGTGTCCGTGTTCGGCTTCCCTACGAGAGAAGGAGCTCCAATCAGGGCCGGCCTTTTTATAATTAGATTTATTAATCAAGCAGCTCTTAATTAAAGTTACTTTTGAAGTGAATGTGATATTTTTAAAGCTCCTTTTGCACCGTTTGACCTGATGCTGACTGCTTATGATGAGTCTTTTTAGTCTGTTTAATTAGCACCTGTTCTGGACTAGGATCCCTGAGGATGCCCCCCCCGTTAAATAACGTTTTCCCTGAGATTCGACATCCAAGAGTCACCAAACAAAGAAGCTCTGAAGCTCTAGACTTAACAAAAGCCGACAGGACGACTGTAGATTACCTTTAATGTAATAACATTTAATTTAATTTGTTGTTTCTATTTTCTGGGGTAATTTATGTTGTAGAAATAACAAGGTTATATTAATATCTCTTTATATTTAAACAAAGTGATTTGCATTTTACTTTGAAGGGCTTTCGTGAGACCTCTGGAGTTCCGGGTTTTCGGAGTTGTCGAGAAATGTGAATACGGTCGACGTATTAAAAAGTGTTAAAAAGTTCTTTAAAGGTACTAGCTCCTGGCTAAAAGGCACAAGGTTTTTCTCGTTCTTTGTGTTATGTTGTGTCCGGTTTTAAGTTTTACGATTGTTTTGAATAAGTAAAGTGTGTTTGCGCTATGGAGTGTTAGCATGGTACCTAAGCTAACACGGTCATTTCTGTCTGTAAAGTTTAAAAAACTGTTCATTGGAAGGCAATTGTATTTCTTTTTTTTCATTTCTTTTATCTTGTACGGTGAGTTCATATGACGCCTTCATTGACCGTTCAAATTAAAAGGATAGGAACCATCGGTCCAAGAGTCCCACCATCAATTAGCCGGGGATGCTAACGACCAAAAGAGAAGGAGGCGATTCCAACCGAGTGTGACCGGCTAGCTCCCAAAAGCTTAAGGCCACTTCTGGGATCTGTAGTGTTGAAACTCTGAATGGTAAAAAAGGAGGGAGGAAGCTGGACTGCCAGGTGTCCTCCACAGTATCGAGTGTTAGCATCGTACCTAAGCTAACGCGGTAATTTTGGTCTGTGAAGTTTAAAAGACTGTTCATAGGAGGGTAATTATATTTTTATTTCTTTTAGCTCTTACGGGGAGTTCATATGACGCCTTCATTGACCGTTCAAATTAAAAGGATAGGAACCATCGGTCTAAGAGTCCCACCATCAATTAGCCGGGGACGCTAACGACCAAAAGAGAGGGAGGCGATTCCACAAAGTGTTAATGCTAGCTCCCAAAAGCTTAAGGCTACTTCTGGGATCTGTAGTGCTAAATGTTGAAAAAAGAGGGAGGAAGTTGGACTGCCAGGTTTCCTCCACAGTATTGAGTGTTAGCATGGTACCTAAGCTAACGCGGTAATTTTGGTCTGTGAAGTTTCAAAGACTGTTCATTGGAGGGTAATTGTATTTTAATTTTTTAATTTCTTTTAGCTCGTACGGTGAGTTCATACGATGCCTTCATTGACCGTTCAAATTAAAGGATAGGAACCATCTAAGAGTCTAAGAGTCAGACCATCAATTAGCCGGGGATGCTAACGACCAAAAGAGAGTGTGATCGAGTGTGAACGGCTAGCTCCCAAAAGCTTAAGGCCACTTCTGGGATCTGTAGTGTTGAAACTCTGAATGGTGAAGAAGGAGGGAGGAAGCTGGACTGCCAGGTGTCCTCCACAGTATTGAGTGTTAGCATCGTACGTAAGCTAAAGCTGTAATTTCGGTATGTGAAGTTTAAAAGGCTGTTCATTGGGGGGTAATTGTATTTTTATTTTTTAATTTCTTTTAGCTCTTACAGTGAGTTCATATGACGCCTTCATTGACCGTTCAAACCATCGGTCTAAGAGTTCCACCATCAATTAGCAGGGGACGCTAACGACCAAAAGAGAATGTGACCGAGTGTGAACGGCTAGCTCCCAAAAGCTTAAGGCTACTTTTAGGATCTGTAGTGCTGAATGGTGAAGGAGGAGGGAGGAAGCTGGATTCCAGGTGTCCTTCACAGTATCGAGTGTTAGAATCGTACCTAAGCTAACGCTGTAATTTTGGTCTGTAAAGTTTAAAAGGATTGTTCATTGGAGGGTAATTGTGTTTTCATTTCTTAATGTCTTTTAGCTTGTACAGTGATTTAATATGATGATTTTGTTGACCGTTCAAATTAAAGGATAGGAACCATCGGTCTAAGAGTCCCACCATCAATTAGCCGGGGATGCTAACGACCAAAAGAGAGGGAGGCGATTCCACCGAGTGTTAACTCTAACTCCCAAAAGCTTAAGGCCACTTCTGGGATCTGTAGTGCTAAATGTTGAAGAAGGAGGGAGGAAGCTGGACTGCCAGGTGTCCTCCACAGGAGGCAGATTGGGAGCGAAAACTCAGGCTTTTTCCCAGTGATGTGTGCTCCCCAACGGGGTGGAAATCACATTTCCAGGAGACGGAGTGGGTGAAATGTCCGAGAGCCCCCACAAGGCAGCTGCTTTCCCGCCCTGCCACCTGCCTGATAAACTAATAGTGATTGTATAGATAGACAACTTCCTTTGTGAGTAGGGGGTGAAGTGGAAGGAGCCGTATTAGGATGGATGGAGCTCATTTAGGCCGGAGTCAATCGTGAGAGTGGGTGTTTACGAAGCACAGAAACCTCCGAAACGGTTAATTGCATTATCGCAAATCAATTGTGGGCGTATTACGAGCCTCATGTTTTCGATTAAGCGTCATTTTTTAAAAATGGCTTTATTGTGGCGTGGCTGTAATGGTCTTGTTGTGGAAATTCTGAAGCAAGAGTCTGAGTTTAACCGTTTAACCCTTTAAAGCCTGATCCGAGAATAAAACAAAACAGAAATGTACTTTTTGGGGGTTTTAAGTCTTTATTTGGCCTTTAAACAAAATATGTAAAAAGACAAAACAAAAATAAATGTTTAATATTAATAATTTATTACTATGCGATAAGTCAATATTATTTTTTATGTGGTCTTCTGCCCCCTGTTATCAGGTGTATCTGATTGTGTACAATAGGATTTTGAGCAAATTTTTTACCATTAAATCATGCAAAAGTTGTCAGACGCAAAACATTTCAGAAACCTGCTTCCCCCGGGGACTCCAACCCAGAACCCTAACCCTAACCCTAACCCAGTTCATGCATTCAAGTTAAAAGTTGGAAAATTACTACAATTCCACAATAAGCATTTAATTTCCCTCTCAGAATCAGCAGTTTACAGTTAACCATTTAAAGCTATATTAGGTCTTATTTAGGAAAGGAACAGTGTGAAATATAACCCTCAATTTCACTATTAAACACACAAAGTAGACACACACACCGTTAGCTTAACACAGTTAGCTTAACACAGATTTCCATATGAACTGTGTGCCAATAGGTTTCCCTAAGCCTAACCCAGTACATGCATTCAAGTTAAAAGTTGGAAAATTACTACAATTCCACAATAAGCATTTAATTTCCCTTCTCAGAATCAGCAGTTTACAGATACAGTTACAGAACATGCAGACTCCACCCAGAAAGGTCCTGGTTCCCCCGGGGACTCCAACCCAGAACCCTCTGGTCCTGGTTCCCCCGGGACTCCAACCCAG